TTGGTGGGCACTTGATACCCAGAAAGAGGGGGGGAAATGGCCACAGCTTGGAACTGTTGTTGATAATATTGTACTGCAGCTGATGTTGTTTTGCAGCTGTGAGGGAGGCTGAGATGATGCGAGTGTGTGGATGCTTTCATGGCTCAGGAAATGCTTATGGAAGGAGAAGGAAATGTGGGTTGTTAGTAAGGGCAGTTGTTGTCAGTGGGTGGAAGGGGATGAGCATGTAGAAGCTGTGCAGGTGTTGGTACCTCAGCTCTCCCTCTCCAGCCTGGTGATACGGGGGCAGTGAAAGGGGCGAGTGGGTGTTTGGAGGATGCAGATTTGGGTCTGGGGGTGATAGAGAGAGGGGGGGCAGTGTCCTGCTGTCCAAGCCCCTTTGGGACAGGCAGTTGGGGTGGAGGGACAACTTGCTGATGTGCATGTCCCTGCTGCACCCTGGGAGATGTTGGGTTGGAAATGGTCCGTGGGGCTAATCTGGAGAAAGTGCTGGAGCTGCTCAAACCAACCATCATCATATTATCACCTCAGCTGGGGGAATATCCAGGCATTCTAGAAATCCTCTTCAGTCATGAGGAAAAGCAAAGAGCTGGCAAGAGCTAAAGAAGTGGAAGGTAAATCTCCACAGATGCCATGAACTGGGTTACACCCAGGGAGAGCCCAGACTGGAATCCTGACTCTGGGAGTTGGCTAGAACCATGAATTGCTGTCCTCTCTTTCTCCTGACGTGCAGCCAGCCTGTTGTTCTGCAACTGTGAAAAGCTCCTGCCCTTGCTAACAGATGTATTGTTGTTGGTGTGTTGCTGAAATGTCTCTGTGATGTCTTTCCACTGAGCAAAGAGGTGTTCTGGGGCTGCCTGGTGTTAGAGTGTTCCATCTCTGCTTTGAATTCTGTCCCCTTCTCCTCTCAAATCATTAGTTCCCCTCTTTCTGGCCAGCTGTCAACAGTGGGTGCTAAACCCTCAAACATATCTGAGAGGTTTTCCAACCTGAAGAGGTGGACTCTGCATTGGTGCTGGGCTGCAGCCCCAGCTATTCCAGCCATCTTTAGTGGGTTTGGCTCTCTGTGGGAGGAAATGGCTCTTGCAAGGTTGCCCAAGAATAGCTTGCATCTCTGCACTAGCTGCTTTTCCAGAGGATGGCTCATGTCAGAAAACCCCTTGGCTTGAGTGTGAAATAGCATTAAATATCCCAGCCCAAGCTGGTGGTGTCCTGGCCACACAAGGAAAAGTGAACTGCAGCCCTTGAGGGAGAAGAAAATCCATTTGCATATTGTCCCTCTGCAAAATCAATAGCTGGGATTACTTTCCAGAAAGCAGAGCCCAAAGGATCTAGCAAACAAGTGATGCAGTGTCTGTGCACAAAGTGGAGGAGCTCAGAGGTGGACGAGCTCTGTATCAACCTTAGGGACAAAAGTAACACCAAACTGGTCACCCCTGCTGCTGGTGGGGCCAGCACACTGTGTGGTGCCTTTGGAAGATCTTTGCTTTTGCCCAAATCTTGTTGCCTTCCTGTGGGGTAGAGTTATTTGAGCCGGTTTGTAGAGCATAACAGGACATTGGGCTGGAATCTTCTGAGGTGCCCTCTGAGTTACCGTGACCCGCCCGGGGCTCAGTTCATCCCCCAGGGGAAATCAGCTGCATTTTTCAG